AAGAAGTGTGTCGCCTTGTGTGATGCGTGTGTGGAGAAAAACTAGCCTCAACACCGACTATTTAGATTGTATCGCTTTTCTTCATGGTAGAGACAGGAACTTTATGAACACTTCTCAAATTAAAGTGACATTGCAACGCTATTCAGTTAGAATGTTTCCTTACACAAGTTTACTGGCACTAGAGAGACCGAGGTATACTCGTGCGCAACGACATTGACCAAAAAATCCTTTTTGCTGCGTTGAAGTCCAAGGAATAAAAGCGAGTTTTTATATCTCCTTCACAAAACTTAATGACGTAGGAATCGGGAGGTCGCTGTGTTCCCCAGTGACATATAGTCCCCCAATGACAATATTTGAATGCTGCTCATGTACTGGACGCGAGCATTCTGTAAGCACTTGATTTGGGCGCGTGATAATCAATAGCTCGATTAGAATTGTGTCCAGGCGTTTTAAAGACGACAATAGCAGAGCCCTAAAAATGCGTTCAACTCAGCTCCTATGTCCTGTGGTTTTCCAACCACAGCGCGTGGCTTTGAAAAACATTGGCGGCATATAATCGGCTCCAGGCGATATGGCAACTTGTTCTGGAAGCGAGATGAGGGAGAAAAGCTGCTTTTATTTTTTTCCTCCCGAGTACAATTGTACAAGGAGAAGAGATAACGCGTGTTTCGTGGGTTATAGATGTCATGCAAACAATCTAAGTGGTATGCACGCAGAGTACAAAAATCTTTGATCCTCCTTTTAGCACTCTCGTTACTCAAAACACGTCCTCTTCAGCGCGTAAACGACACGGTATTTTGTCGCTGCGCATCTTTCTGACTACTCAGTAAGAACAACTCTCTTCGCTCTAGCGCCAACCATTCCGTGCAGCTTAACGATGATGGCAAGCGCCTTGGCGTGATGTCGGAAGCACAGTTCGAGGTGAACGTTACTGTTGTCACTGATAGGACAAGTGGCGCCGGGCGTTTTATTTTCGAACGTTCAACCTCCAGCGCGCACCCGTTGACTATACGGTCGGGCCTTGGCTGCGCACGCACGCTCGAAGATCAAGATACGCCGAAGTGATATCCAAGGAAGGAAGACCGCGTTGTAAGTGGCTCTAAAGTCAATAAATCTTGGGAACGTAGCGCCATTTGTCTTCTCTGCATGAGAACAGTACACAAACGGACATTAACATACTGACAACAAAAAACGTTACAAGTTATGCGGAGCGCAAGGTCGTCTGCTTCTTGCACAGGGGTCGTGATGAGGTCAGAACGCTAAACTCTTATTGGCTGGTCGAAAAAAAAAATATTGGTGGGTAGACCTCGAGGCATCTAGCATCGAACTCTACCCAATATCCTTTCAATCAAAGCCAGCCTGAGCTCGGCGTCGTTATGGTGTCACCGGAAATCCTTCGCGAGGAGCAGACGCGGCTCACCCTCCTCATTGGCTAATCGGTCTCCGTTCCAATGGAAACTGCCATCTTGGTTCTTCTAAATCTTTGACGCCTCTAAAGGGCCGTTCTGAATCAGCCGCGCCAAGGTCGCAATGGAGCGCCATCGTATCTGGAAGCGTTCGTCGCCATTATAAGCGTCTTTTGCACTGTGTATGCAATCAACTTATCAACCATGCTTATCTCCACAGATGTCCTACAATTATATTGTTCTTCTTGCCTATTTCAAAAGAGAGAAAAATATATTTCATAACCACCAAGCATTGCCGCCCCATTTGGTGGGTGCGCGAGGACGTGTGCCTTTTTCGCCGGTGTGTTGATAACAAAATCTCGGTGCTCAAGAAACGTCTTTGTAAAGCAACCTGCCAACGCGGAATTTAAATCGGCTCACGACAATGGAGAGGTGAAGGAAAAACTAAGAATTCCATGAACTAAAACGGCGACCATCCGGGGAGTTTCGCGTTACTTTTTCAGGATCCAGTGAGTTTAGGTGAATCAACTGAAATACATCCCTGCAGTTCTTATCCTGTCAGGAACTATAGTCGGTGACAGGTTAAAGATGAACCAGAAGCTCCTTCTCTAGCAAGCACTTTTCCCTTCTGCCTTGTGAAAGCTGCGCTTTCTCACAAGACGCCGAAATGTTATTAATAATGTATTCACACGACGGAAATATCTTGCACAGAGAGGTGCAAACTTTATCGCGCTTCGAGGTCACGTTAAGTACATTACGGTTGCTTTTATACTCCGTTCATCCTTAAAGGGATACTGAAAAGAAAAAAATACATGTTTTTTTTGTTTTTTTTTTTAACAGTCTGGTTGGGACACGCGTGTCAAAAATTAATTTTACGAAAACAAATTAGTGCAATATTAGCGGCTCGAGACGCCATTTAGTCTGTCATCACCTCCTTTCTACTTTTTTTTTTTTCTCTCTCGGAATTTTAGGCGGGTGAACGAGAGGTGAATCGGCCTGGCCATTACGTTGAGGTGGAGAGAGAGAGTATAGCCATCTCGTTGAGGTGGAAGGAGTGCATGAGCATTCCGTAACGTCATGGACCTTGCGCGCAGAATTTGAAGTAAATCTCGCGCCGTCAATATTGCCCTAATTTCTTTTTTTTGCGTAAAATTGTTTTTTTTTGACACGCGTGCCTGAATCAAACTGTTTATATAAAAAAAAATTATTGATTCTTTAAGCTGAGATTACAGTGAAAGCTGCAAGAGCGAGCTAGCCCGCGCTCCTGGCTTTGAGACAGGCTTCTTTAGAGCCAGCGTTCGTTCTGCAGCAGAACGTTTCAAAGCTGCGATCCCGTGCTCTAGTGGTTAGAGCATTGGCTGCAGTCTCGGCTTAAGGGGGAACCACGGTGGGGGGGGGGGGGGGAGGAACGGAGTACAGGGAGTATTCACTGGACGCCATATTTGAGGGTGCTGTTTAAAGCGCATGCTCAGAACGAGCTCACATCAATAGGCTGCTAAGACCGACACTCTTGATGGTGCGGAATGCACGTCGCAAAAGAACTGTGGAAGCTTGCCATCAGCACGCGCTCAGCAGTCGCGCACACAGCTATGGCCGCCAGTGAATACTCCCTATAGCAAGCGTCGCTGATGCGGCGCACGTGGCCTCGAAGTGCGATGGCGTTTCCTTTCCTCTGATTACGAAATATCTCTCGTATAGAAGTATAGAAATACTGCATTGAAGTCGGGCATTCTATTAAATGTTTAACCTGTCATCTACGTCATTCACTTAGAGCACAAGAAACACAGGGCAGGGCGTCTTTTTGGGATGCCCAGAGTATGGAACGCGCTCGATGCCTTCCGTTGTGCTTTCAATCCTCGTGCACGGTCGAATCTTAGGAAACGACGAAGTGTTGTCAAAGGAGGGACAACACTTCTCTTGGGGAGACAACTGCATGGAACACTGCCAATCTGTCCTGTCAGAAAATATCCATTAAGATAAGAGCCGCAGAAAGACGCAGCACACAGTTACGCTGTCGTTCTGAAATTTAGCGGACTTCCCCCCCGCTATTGTTAGCGGACGGTGTTTAAAAGAAACTAACCTGACTATGTGACACGACGTGGAGCTCAATTCTCAATATATTTAGAGAGAAAAGTTGGACGTAATATTTAACTTCACGTGACATTATGACGCAAGAATATTACGGCAGTGCGATCGCCCACTAAATTTAGCGTAGAAATGTTGTCTGTAAATTTAGGTGGCCACGGCGTACGTTTACGCGAAACACACATCGGAGTTTCTGTGAACCTCGACAGTAAGAAGTACTATTTGCATGATGTGATGATTTCGTGCTCTCGGTGTGCACTCGGAATCGTACGAAGGAACATTCCTGCCTCCCTGTTTTGCCGTGTGTCATCTAGTGTCTCAGCAGCTGAGTTTGTTATTGTTCTCGTGATTCTGTGTTCGTGTGAAAACTGTGAAGAGTCACTGCGCGTGTCCTAACGTCAATCTGCTCAACTGAGCCAACTTGCGGGAGGAAAGCTCTCCTAAAACCGGTTCCCTCGAGACACTTTGTAGTGACGAGGGGACGGATGCGCTTCCACAGAGGATAGGTAAGCTAAGCGTGCACATTGATGTCGTTTCAAGAGTAGAGTGAATGCGAATTGACGATCTCCTGATACGTGAAAAAAGCATAATAATTTGCTAGCCACGCGCACCAACAGCCGTCCCCGCTTGCCATCATCCACATGGCGTACTTATTGCATTATTTGACCGATCATACAATCTCTAATTCGCGTAACTGCCCCCATAAACGAAGGTAGTGGTACACGTTGAGGAAACGAATTTATTTTGTTTAATATTATAAACGGGCTTTTTATATTGAGCTTATATCTTGAACGCGTGTACAATACGCATACACTGTTATCGCGAACAAGCAATCGTCGCATTTTGTTATCTCTTAAAATCGAGATGCTGTTATCAAAACTAGAAGAGTGATATATAAGGTATTCATTTGAGGCACAAACCGAAGTGCTAAAATTTGGTGCCCGCTGATAACCGTTCGATATTAAACTCGAAAAAGCATCGGCGTCGTGTTCGCGCTGACACCTTCGCGGAGTGCACATAGCGAAATTTAGACTTTATCGATATCGCTTGACTAGTAAAATTGTGAGTGATTAATCTGAAAACTAGCTATAAAAATAATGCGCCCCCATCTGTTAAAAACTGGTTACTTAAAAACACCGAAACCCTACGGCGAGCGAGAGTGCTTTTCGTCCGTTAATATCGCGCAGTGGCTTCGTCATAGCCTCGGCATGACAACCGAACCGGCCAATAGTTTTGTCTCTTCTTTTCCCCGCATGCCACGTATGATGTTTTGTACAAAACACTTGCTTATTTAAGCAAATATTTACACTCACAATTTACTTATTGTTCTACCCACAACGACGCGGGTATCCATGCACAACACCTGCCGCGGGTCGCGGCTTTGACCATACCAATGGTACTCGAAAGGCGGTTTTTCTTTTCGCATGATCAAATGCTTCGAGCTGAGTGACAGCCTCCTGTTAGAAGGATCGCCGTAAATTAGAATAGACATAAATTAGGAAGACTCACCGGCTCTGACGGCGACGTCCCTGCTGACGATGCTGCCCACGGCGTTTGCGGCGGCGCACCGGTACACTGTGGCGTGCACGTCCTGACGGTAATCCTCCGCACGGAAGGGCGGGAACACCAGGGACCCGTTGGGGCGTGCGTAGCGCAGGCCCCGCACGTCGTCCACGGGGGCACCGTCCGCCGACGTCCATGTCACCCGCGGGTCCGGCGTCCCGACGGCCGAGCACGGAATCGTGGCCCCGGTCGCGTTCGAGAAGGACACGCGCCGCGGTGGCTCGTACAGGAACGTTGGGCCGCGCCGGTCTTGCTGGAACAAGGACGCTGCGAAACCGGGGAGAAAAAAAAAAGGACACGTCTCAAGTTGTGGTCAATACATTATACAAAAGACAGTCTGCAAGCAGTGTCGTAACCTTTTTTTTTTTTTTTTTTTCTTATATGAGTGTTCCGCCACACTGATGGTACAAAAAACTGTCTAAAGACATGTTACATCCATTGGTATGTGTATAAACGCTTGGAACATGCTTTGAACCGTAGGCTCCTATAGACTGACAAAGCCTGGCAGATCGCCATGAGAAGCGGTAGCCGAAATGGAAAAGGTGCAGTGACAGACGACGGATGAGAGGAGAGCCACGTGCCTGGCGCAGCACTGCGGCGATACGCCGAAACCCACTTCTTCCGATCTAACAAGTGTGTTTCGGGCCCTCGCCGCTGCAAAAGCTGTGTGATGACATCCGGGTTCCCCGAGACGTGGCCTTTTGATTCTGTGTTCCACCAGATCCTCGTGAGTATAGAGGAGGCTATGTCTGAACGTTCTTGAGGCGTGGCCGGGGATATTTCGATGGCATTGTCTGAAGCGAACACCGTGTCTTTTGTACGCCGTACGAGCAGTCTGACTACACCTTTAGGCCTCCGAAACATTAGCTGTCTTCACACCATCAGTCGCATGCAACGAACGTTCAGAATGCTACTTTACACAAACTCAACCTTCTGACGTCACATACTGCGGCGGCGCTTCCGTCGGCACTGCGCATGCACAGACGCTCGATCTCACGTGAATCTGATTTCTGAGCACTGCCCGCGCTTGGTGCGGGGAAACGCGGGCTCGTTTGTGAACATAGCATAGGTGTGTGTACGAGGTGTCGCTCACAAAAATGCGATTGCAGTGTTTCTATCACCGCATTAATGAACTACGCATCGATGAACGCTCAGTTTTCGCCTTGACGATGGCGATCCGGACCAGAGGCCAAATTTTCAGAGCTTGCCGTTGTCCGATACCAATGCTATAAGCGATTTTTGGAAATATTCAATGAGAAATTGTCAACCGCTGCTGCTGCGTTGCGTACCTTTCGCAGAATACATGTTGCACCACCGAATTAGTTTTACTCGTCAAAAGCAAGTAGAAATGACCATGGGTACTGTGCGATGACGTTGCGTGCATTACATGTATATTCGAACTTCCAGAGGTGGGATCGGTGGCCGAGTGGGCTAGCGCACACCTGGGGCCCCTAAGCTGGACATTTGGCGAGAATGCAGGTGAGATTCCTGAGCGCCGCGATTGGCCAATAGGGAGTTTTCGTAGACCGCGTTTCCCACTCCGCTAAGCCCTCCGCAATGAAGAAGCCGCTAATGCGCCTGTTCGCCGATAGCCTTGACTGTAGAGTTCCGGGTAGCGTAGCGTGTTGCGGAGAGCTTTGCGGGATGGCGAAAGCGATCTACGAAAACTCCCTAATGCCGCGCATGACTTTGGCGCTGGCTATTCGTGGCCGTCAGACACTCGGTTTCGCCGAGTGTCCAGCTTAAGCAGGCAGCTTAGAGCACGTGGAGCGAAAGCTCGCCCTGCAGAATCCAGGGATCCTGGGTTTCCTCCCCACCCCTACCCGTTTCCATCTAGATGAACATCGTACCGGCGCGCGGTCGCGTATCACTAGTACGCGGTGCACGTTAAAGACACCAGGCTAGCTGTTGTAATGCACTGGCCAAATTGCTCATCTACAGCTGAAACATCAGACGCCCGTTGGGGCAGACTAACTTTTGGCTGTATGAACATACACACAACACAGTTATTATTTAACTTTCAGCGAACGCGATACCGCGGTGAGACAATCACGCTACCTAGGTCGTGGATGATCGGCCTAACAATACGCTTGTTTTCTTGCATCTTGCTGATATTAATAAGATGTAGATATTTAATACAGACCGTATTTGGCAAAATTAAAAATGTTTAGGTGTGACACGCGTTACCTCGATCGCACTGCTCTTCTACGTCGATCATCGAGTTGGCAGCCATTAGGTCCCGAAAGCAATTGCGAATGCTCGGCATGATCAATGTTTGCCTGCGACGTTATCAAGGCTAACGCAGTTGCACAATGCTGCGGCACCGCACTGCGGCGCGAGCATGTGACTTTGTCTTTCAACTCATTTAACCCGTTCTCATTTGAAGTAGTTCGAGGACGACGCTAAATGAAGCCACGCGCTCGTGCAAGTAAGTTTGACGGCATTGGAGAAGTGTAAGGTTGGAGTTCTTGCTCCATCTCATTAGTCTTCAGCACTGTCGTGCCATTGCGAGTGTCCGACCGCAACCGACGCTACGACACTCTGGAACTAATCGAGCAGCGGCAGAAGTGCATCGCCACGGCGATCGTTCTCTTTGTGGCTTTTCCCTTTCACCGAATAAACCAAATGCGGACTCGCACACACACAAAAAAAGAGAAAAAAAAAAAGCGCGGGATCGAAGCGCAATGACTGTGCGTGTTTGCTGTAGTTTTTGATAGCAAACACGTAAACACGATGAGCGCCATGACGATGCACCTTTTAGCGCTGCTCGGTTGGCCTCCATCGGGTCGTAGCGTCGTACCCTGCGATTGGGCTCCAATAGAAACGAGCTGTAAAAAGCCCCCCCCCCCTTTCCCTCCTTCTTGCCGCCACTGTCGACCGCAACGATCAGGGATGATCACGCAATCTCTCAGTGATACATCTAACAGTTTGGCCAACGTATCCCTTAGCAAAAAGGGGCCGTACTTCAAACGAAGTTGAAATATATTTAGTACGAATATTCATTTTGTATTTATTCTGTATTATTTTGGCCGCATTCGAAATACGCGCGTAATGTATTCAAAATACATTATAAATATGAATCAAAAGATATTTTAGATATACCAAAAATATTATTCCTTCACACTCAAGATGCCATTTGTAAATTAAAAACCGGTTACACAATTTTTTTTTTATTTTCTATTTTGTCAGCAAATGGTGTCCCTGTGGTGTTTGAAGGCACTACTAAATACATCTCACAAAGCCACATTAGAAACGAACACAAACACAAACACCATGACGCACTGAAGAGCTCATTCACAGCCCCGTTGACTGCTCTAGAGGCTTATATAGCCTACATATTGAAGGTAATAATTTTTTCGGTGACCACCTCTGCGCTTATTAAGGTTACAAGTATTCGATCATCTCCTCGGGAGTCTGTCAAGGGGGAAACAGTGTTTTGAAGTTCGTGTACAATATCTCTTACTAAAAGGCATTGGTACAACTAATAACAATTCGGCACAGTCCCTAAAACAATATCCACACAAACGGCTCATAAAATACATGTTATTGCTTCTCTGCGTAGCACCACTCAGGGCGAAGCGAATCAAGGCAGTTTCTTCACTTTAAAATACTGTAAACGACTTTATTTTCGTGAGGACCTAATTCTCGCAAAGTTGGCGAATCGCCTACAATTCCGAAAAATAGGTCCCGTGAACAATTCTGGCAAAATGTAAAAACATTAAAATCTATATTGCGATCCCAGCGCGTCGCGAAAATTAGAATTTGCGAATTATTCCAAAACTCCAACTTTGACCTAAATCGCGAAATATTGAGCCCGCGAAAAATAAATATTTTACAGTAGTTGTTTTGCCTTTCCTTTTTAGTAGTTGACTATTTAATATGGTAGTTAATGTCACTGTATTAAAGTCACTATTCACATCACGTACAATGGTGAGTATACACGTTCAGTGAACTAACATTGTGCTAACAAAAGCACGCCAAACGTATCTGTTCACAGCACCTGCTGAAGCTTTCCAGCATCAGCAAATGTTGTGGTTGTAGTTCCAGAACCCCGTTTGTGATTGGTGTGCAAGGAACTGATCAGGTGTGTTCTTGATAGAAAATAGGAAACAATAACATAAGCTGGGCTGATTTATCAGTGCGATGCTGCGCAATTCAGTTGCCAAACTAATCAAATGTATTTAGGCGCTTCAGTGTACTCCATACCTGCTTGAAGTGAACTTCAGAAGGGGAGCTTTTAAATATTTTGGTAGTTTAAGTCAAACTACCAAAGTATTGCAGTCAAAAGGTACTTAGAGTATAACACAACAGTATTTACGATTTTCAGGTATTTTAAGAGTATTCTGCACGTATTCTTGATTGCTCCATTTTTTTAGGGTTGGGGTATATTTTGCATGAATTAAATAAATATTTCAAGAAATATATGTGAAAGGTATTTTGTGCCTATTAATTTAGTATTTACATATTTCAAAACGCATGAAGGGTACTTCAAATGTAGTTTAAGTAAAGGTATTTTAAAATGATTTTTAGAAGTATATTTTAGTACAAAGTAACAAAAAAAGAAGTTTATATTTTCGGTATATTTTTCGTGTACTTACAATTATGAATTGTATTTCAAATACACTCAAATTAGAATGTGGTATATTTCAAACGTATTAGTTTTCGCTAAGGGATATCTTACAGCGCGTCAGCGGAATCCTGTACACGACGCCTATCGTATACTCCAGATATTCGTTATGTCTTACTGAGCATATGCCCTTCGTCCCGCCTTTGTTGGCTACTCTTGGGGCCCTAAACTCGTGAAACACGAAGTTGGGGCCGAAGTTGAGGGAGCGCACCGATTGGACTATCACGACGATGACTCGGCGTTTTTGTCGCCAACATCCAATCGGCGCGCTCCGCCAACTTTCGGCTCCAACTTTGTGTTTCACGAGTTTAGGGCCCTTGGACAAAGTTCCGCCAGTTAGTACGGTGCAGAAAACACCGTAGGTACGTCGCATCGCTATATGGAAGCAAACAAAAATAAAACATAACCCATCAAAGAAGATTTGCGTGAAATATCAGCAAAATAGAAATTTGTAAGCCCTGTGTGCATGCCCCGTGCAACAGCCAAGACTACACTGCAGAATAACTTCAGTAGAACGCATGTATCCGAAAGCCCGCAGGACTTACGAAACAGAGCGACCGAACAAATTCAAATGACACAGGATGTGTAGAGATGGAAAGAAAAAGAGAAAGAGAGAGTGAGGAAACCGTGGTTCGGTCCC